TATGGTACTCCATGGTATCAAGGACCCACAATCTTTTTTTACTTTTTACTTTTTTTTTTTTTTCAGATGGAGTCTCAGTGCATTACCCAGGCTGGAGTGCAGTAGCACCGTCTCAGCTCACTGCAACCTGTGCCTCCTGAGCTCAAAGGATTCTTCCACCGCAGCTTCCTGAGTAGCTGGGACTCCGGGTGTGTGCCACCATGCCCAGCTAATTTTTTTGTATTTTCTTTAAAGACAGGGTTTCACCATGTTGGGGTATTTTTTGACTAGCCCAGGCTGGTCTCACACTCATGGACTCAAGCGGTCTGCCCCGTTGGCCTCCCAAAGTGCTACGATTACAGGTGTGAGCCACTGTGCCCCCCCCTCAAGATCATGTTACCTTGTTGCTTACCATGGGTAGTTTCTATTCCTAAGGTTATACCATGGTTGAGAAGAGCTTCAGGAAATCCAGCCGCTACGTAGCATTGCATTCAACTGAAAAGAAAAAGAGGTGAGGAAGAGCATGCCCCCTCCCTTTTGGGACATTTCTGGAAGTTGCATTTCTGCTTACCTCCATGGGCCTCATTTAGCTGCAGGAGCCCCTAGAAAACACAGTTTTTATTCTGAGTGACCATATGCCAAATGGAAGAGTCCTATTACTCGGGAAGAAGAGGAAACCAGAGGTCTCTAGGACAACTGGTCATTTCTCTGCCCTCATCTTAACTCTCTGTTGGTAGCATTTGACCACTACCCTTGGGTACCTTTTTTTTTCTTTTTTAAAGATGGTTTCACTCTGTCGCCCATGCTGGAGTGCTGCGATATGATCATGACTCACTGCAGCCTTGAACTCCTGGGCTCAAGTGATCTTCTCACCTCATCCTTCTGAGTAGTTGGGGACGCAGGCATTGTGCCACCATGCCTAGCTAATTTTTAAATTTTTTGTGGAGTCAGGGGTCTCATTATGTTGCCCAGGCTAGTCTCAAACTCCTGGGCTCAAGCAATCCTCCTGCCTTGGCCTCCTAAAGTGCTGGGATTAGAGGTATGAGCCACTGTGCTCAGCTTCTTTTTCTTTCTTTCTTTCTTTTTTTTTCAGAGACAATATCTTGCTTGGTTCCCGGAGCTGGAGTGCAGTGGTGTGATCATAGCTCACTGCAGCCTGGAATTCCTGGCCTCAAGCACTCCTACTACCTCAGCCTCCTGAGTAGCTGGGACTACAGGTGCATGCCATCACATCCAGCTAATTTATTTTATTTTTTAGAGATGGAGGTTTCAATATGTTGCCCAGGCTGGTCTTGAACTTCTGTACTCAAGTGATCCTCCTGCCTTGTTTTCCCAGAGTGCTGGGATACAGGCATGAACCACGGTGTCCAACCACCCTGACTACAGAACGTTTCAGTTCACAAAGCACTTTCAAAGTTTCAGTTTTACAAAGCACTGTCTTGCTTGCTGTTTACAGCTACACTGTGATACCATAGACATCCTCTTCACATACGAAAAAATGGAAGCCCAGAGAAATCGCTAACTCACGTCACTTGGTTACTAAGTCACAGGTCTTGTGCTGTACTTCAACTTGGAAGTCCTGGCTCCTCCGCAGTGCTCATGAAAAGAGGTGGACAGCAGCTGATGAATGTGCAGGGTTTGCCTAAGGCCAGGTAGGAGACTTGGAAGCTGTCCCCGAAGGCCCCAGAAAGCCCCAGCATTAAGAAAGAAAGGAATCCCTTTTTGATGCAGCAATCACAGCTTTCTCACTATTTGGGAACAATCCACACTGAGACAGTGGATCATTCAGCAAGGCTGGTTTACTTCCTGCAGAAAGGTGCAGTCTCCCCGGCAGTCTTCCCATGAGAGCACACCTGAACAAGGAAGACAGGGACATTTAGAACTTTCATAACCTGATGCAATCACCCTACTGTTGTGTTCAGTTTCCATTGGCCAGAATAAGACCTCACATTCTATGCATGACCCAAATGGCTAAAAACTTGGAAATTTCCTGTATAGATAAGGGGGAAAGAAGATAAGAAAGAAGACAAGGAAAACAAGGAAGCTAGTGAGGAGAAGGTCAGGAGGGTTTCCAAATAGGGAATGGCACACGCTAGGGTTTGGAGCTTGCCCAGTCCTGTTCAGACATGCCGGAGTGAGTCCAAGTAGCTGATTTAAGATGTGGCTGATTGCCGGGCGCGGTGGCTCAAGCCTGTAATCCCAGCACTTCGGGAGGCCGAGGTGGGTGGATCACGAGGTCGAGAGATCGAGACCATCCTGGTCAACATGGTGAAACCCCATCTCTACTAAAAATACAAAAAAATTAGCTGGGCATGGTGGCGCGTGCCTGTAACCCCAGCTACTCGGGAGCCTGAGGCAGGAGAATTGCCTGAACCCAGGAGGCGGAGGTTGCGGTGAGCCGAGATCGCGCCATTGCACTCCAGCCTGGGTAACAAGAGTGAAACTCTGTCTCAAAAAAAAAAAGATGTGGCTGATTTAGAGAATATGTATACATGGGTATATGTTTATGCTAATAGTGGGTAATGGCCATAGAGCAAGATATCGTAACTCCTTTTAATATAGTCTAAGATACAAACTTTGAAGAAGAACTTTCCCATCTCTCACGTCACCTTTTGGGTAAAATTCCTTCTTTCCTTCCTTCCTTCCCTGTTTCTTTCTTTCTTTCTTTCTTTCTTCTTTTTCTTTTTTTTTTTTTGAGACAGGATCTCACTCTGTCACCCAAACTGGAGTGAAGTGGCCTGATCTTGGCTCACTGCAGCCTCTGCCTCCCAGGCTCAAGCAATCCTCCCACCTCAACGTCCAGAGTAGATGGGACCACTGGCATGTGCCACCACGGCCAGCTAATTTTTCGGTATTTTTTTTTTAGAGACCATGTTGTCCAGGCTAGTAAAATACTTATATTTCTATAGGGATGATGTGGGGTGCAGGAGCTTGTGGAGAATAAAGGGAAGTAAAAATTGACAACCACCACTAGAGGGAAAATGTACTCGCCAGCTGGCGTGCTAGCAATCCCATCTTAGAAGTCATCGGGGAGTCATCAGATGTTCAGACCAAGAGTCTGCTGAGTGTCTTGTGACTGTATAAATGTTTTCTCGGAATCAAAGGGATCTGCTTCTCTTTGCAGCCTTCCTCCCTCAGAGGCCAAGCTGAGAAGTTTTGAAGTTTATCATGATTCTCTTATTCTGCTTCTCCTTGTCAATAACTGCTTTGCTGACTTCTTTCCAATTTCTTTCTCTAATCCCCGCCAGTCCTGCACAGACCCTTTGTAGCTGGTGTATGCCAATACACCAACATAATAATGTTGAAGTTGCCGGGGACCGGCAGATGTCTGAGTTTAAGCTGTTTAAGGGTTTGCACCGTCTTAACAGCAAGCAAAGGTGAGATGACTTTTGCGTAAGTTGCTCAAGGTTACACGGTCAGAGTGGAAGCGGGGACTGAAAGCCAGCCTTGTGCCTTCCGAGACCACATGCTGTCTCCCAGCATCAGTTCTGGAAAATGAAGAGCCCCCAGGAAAGACCATTCTGTCCATCACATCCCTGTGCCCCTTTCATCTTGCCTGACCCACCCTAGCACTGCCCCTGGAGGCACATTAAAGCGCGCCTCGGATGCCTGCTCCAGGGAGGCCTCGAGCCCCTCCCGGCTTATAATCGGCCCACTTGCTCTTTCTCTTCATCTCGCTGGGTCTTGGATTCCTGGCTGGAGTCCCTGGCTTTGATATTTGCTTTTGCTCTCCCTGGTTTGGCAACTCATCGCATTCCCCTTGTGGCCTCTGTTTTTCGTTAGCCCTCTGCTCTGCTCCCTCCTCTGGGTTCGTGTCCTCCCAGGGCCTTGAGAGCACTCTCTGGTCCTGGCTCTGCAGAATCCCATGGCTGGGCCAGAGATACAGCATCACTGAGGCGGCATTTATGGCAACAGGCACAGGATGACCCCAATCCTGCCCTTGGCCACAGTAATCAGATGTTCAGACAAATGTATGGCCTCCTACAAGGGTGATACCTGCACGTAAGAGGGTGAGCAAGATGCTTCTTATGATCTTCATCAGCTAGGACTTGGACCCCACTGTGGAATTCCAGTAGGAATTCTAGGAATGCCTAGAGTCCAAATAGGTCTCGTTCATCCCATAAACACGTACTAAGCACCTAGGGTGTGTTGGGCTCTGTTCTATCTGCTGGGGATGCAGCAGCGAATAAAATCAAATCCCTGCCCTTAAGGAGTGTACATTCTTGTTGGGGGGAGTCACACAACAAATTAAGAGCTGTGTCAGGCCTCCTATTCTGTTTCTCCCCCTCCCAGCCATACCCAAACTGGTCTGGGATCTGATCTCTGTGATAGAGGCAAGGCCACACACACACATTAGATCAACAGAAGTAGTGTGAGATGCAGAAGTGAGAGGGGGCAGGCGCCCCAAAGCTCCTTGAGACAAGGTCCCTGCTGTTGTGTGAAAGAAAATGCTAGAGAAAGCAGGGGGGCAGTGGCTGACATCGGGGTCCCAGCACTTTGGGAGGCTGAGGCAGGAGGATCGCTTGAGTCCAGGGGTTTGACACCAGCCTGGGAGACATAACAAGACCTCATCTCTATAACAAAACAACACTACAGAGAGAGAGGGCTGACCTGGCTGAGAGAGCAGCGCCAGCCTGTGTTCACTGGGACCGCAGAAAGAGCCACACGCACAGGTGCTCACTTGTGAACAGCACCTACTTTCTGGGCTTCAGAGCGAGGTCCCCGGAGGAGTGGCAGGACATCATCTGGGAGCTCACCGCACATGCAAACCTCGCCCCACCCACCCCAGTCCTTCCGAGCCAAAATCTGCAGGGGGTTCCTGAAGTTTGAGAAGCAACAGCTAGGCCAGGTGCGGATTGACCACTCCAAGGCCGTGGTCAATCCATAATAATTCCTCCCCCATGGAGATGGAATAGGGATATGAGTGGGATACAGAGACTTCCTTCTCTGGAAAGGTATGTATTTGAGCAGCATATTCATCACTGTTTATAAAAAGTAGTGACTTTTGCTCTGCGCCGCAGTCCCCGCTGCCACCGCATCGGAGCAGAAGAGGGCTGTGCCACCCACGTATGCCGATCTTGGCAAATCTGCCAGGGATGTCTTCACCAAGGGCTGTGGATTTGGCTTAATAAAGCTTGATTTGAAAACAAAATCTGGCCGGGTGCGGTGGCTCAAGCCTGTAATCCCAGCACTTTAGGAGTCCGAGGCGGGTGGATCACAAGGTCGACAGATCGAGACCATCCCGGTCAACATAGTGAAACCCCGTCTCTACTAAAAATACAAAAAATTAGCTGGGCATGGTGGCACATGCCTGTAATCCCAGCTACTCGGGAGGCTGAGGCAGGAGAATTGCCTGAACCCAGGAGGCGGAGGTTGCGGTGAGCCGAGATCGCGCCATTGCACTCCAGCCTGGGTAACAAGAGCGAAACTCTTGTCTCAAAAAAAAAAAAAAAAAGAAAAAAGAAAAAAAAAGAAAAAAAAAAGAAAACAAAATCTGAGAATGGACTGGAATTTACAAGCTCAGGCCCAGCCAACACTGAGACCACCAAAGTGACGGGCAGTCTGGAAACCGAGTACAGACGGACTGAGCACGGCCTGACATTTACAGAGAAATGGAACACCGACAGTACCCCAGGCACCGAGAGGACCGTGGAAGATCAGCTTGCACGTGGACTGAAGCTGACTATCGATTCATCCTTCTCACCTAACACTGGGGGGAAAAAATGCTAAAATCAAGACAGGGTACGAGTGGGAGCACATTCACCTGGACTGTGACATGGATTTCGACATTGCTGGGCCTTCCATCCGGGGTGCTCTGGTGCTGGGTTATGAGGACTGGCTGGCCGGCTACCAGATGAGTTTTGAGACTGCAAAGTCCCAAGTGACCCAGAGCAACTTTGCAGTTGGCTACAAGACTGATGAATGCCAGCTTCATACTTTTTTTTTTTAAAATGTTTTATGTTTTATTTTATTTTATTTTATTTATTCTTTTTTTAAGACGGGGTTTCACCATGTTGGTCAGGCTGGTCTTGAACTCCCGACCTCAGGAGATCCACCCGCCTTGGCCTCCAAAGTGCTTGGATTACAGGCGTGAGCCACCACGCCCGGCGCCAGCTTCATACTAACGTGAATGACGAGACACTTTTGGCGGCTCCATTTACCAGAAGGTGAACAAGAAGTTGGAGACCGCTGTCAATCTCGCCTGGACAGCAAGAAACAGTAACACGTGCTTCGGAATAGCAGCCAAGTATCAGATTGACCCTGACGCCTGCTTCTCGGCTAAAGTGAACAACTCCAGCCTGATAGGTTTCGGATATACTCAGACTCTAAAGCCAGGTATCAAACTGACACTGTCAGCTCTTCTGGATGGCAAGGACATCAATGTTGGTGGCCACAAGCTTGGTCTAGGGCTGGAATTTCAAGCATAAATGAATACTGGACTTGTGTTTAATTTTAAACTATTTTGCAGTATAGCTACCTTCAGAATTTAGTGTATCTTTTAATGCTGTATGTCTGGGATGCAAGTCTTTAACCTCCAGGTTAAAGATGATTCAGCTTTAAGATGTTACCCTTTCAGAGGTACAGAAGAAACCCATTTCCGAAAAAGGCCCTTTCAGTGGTAGACTTGGGGGGATCTTGGGGGCCCCTTTGAGATGCCAGGTTTCTTTTTTATCTAGAAGTGGATGCAAGTGGAAGCTGATAATATGTAGGCACTTGGTAAATTCACATTGAGTAAATGAATGAAATTGTGATTTCCTGAGAATGGGACCTTTGTTTCCCAACCCCAACTGATGAGAGGCTCACTGCTTGATGGTGTGCACAAACTCACCTGAATGGGACTTTTTTAGATAGATCTTCATGACCTGTTCCCACCCTAGTTCATCATCACCTCTTTTGCACCAAAAGGTCTGCAGGGTGTGGTCACTGTTTCTTTTGTTCCATTTTGGGGTGGAGAGGGTGGATGTGATGAAGCCAATAATTCAGGACTTATTCCTTCTTGTGTTGTGTTTTTTTGGCCCTTGCACCAGAGTATGAAATAGCTTCCAGGAGCTCCAGCTATAAGCTCAGAAGAGTCTGTGTGATTGTAATCACATGGTGACAACACTCAGAATCTAAATTGGACTTCTGTTGTATTCTCACCACTCAATTCATTTTTTAGCAGTTTAATGGGTACATTTTAGAGTCTTCCATTTTGTGTGGAATTAGATACTCCCCTTCAAATGCTGTAATTAACAACGCTTAAAAGAAACTTGAATAAAATATTGAAACCTCAAAAAAAAAATGTAGTGACTTTTCTCTTTATAAACAAAACATCAATAAAAATGAAAGAAAATTAAATTTGAAAGAGGTGCTTCCTTTTAATTTGACTTGTAATATTTTTAACTGTCAATATTTCAACAAATAAATATCATTCTATACTTTTGTATTAGTTTATAAACTACTAAGTCACTGTCAGTTGACTCCCAACCTCAGGTGATCCGCCCGCCTTGGCCTCCAAAGTGCTTGGATTACAGGTGTGAGCCACCACACCCGGCCTCAGTTGCATTTTTAATGCCTGAGGGAAGCTTTTATGCATGGAGAGAAACACAGTTATTTGTGTATTTTGCTTATGTTTCCAGTTTATTGAAGGTGTACATTTTATTATTATTTCCATTTTTATTTGTTTTACTTTATTTTGGGGAGACAGAGTCTCTCTGTGACCCAGGCTGGAGCACAGTGGTATAATCATGGCTCCTTGCAGCTTTCATCTCCTGGTCCCATGAGATCCTCCCAAAATGCTAGGACCACAAGCGTGAGCCACTGCACCCAAATTTGTAAATTTTCAAGACTACGGTTCTTAATTAAGGTTCAACCCATATAATTCATCACTTTGCTCATAAATCTAGTATTTTTATGTTACTTTGCTCATAAATCTAGTATTTCTATCACTTGCTCTTTGATTAATGCCTGATTAGCTTATAAATTCTCTAAACATTAAATATTACTTACAAGCCTGATTAATTAAATCAGACTATTTAAACTAAAGCACTTCAAACATCTAGCAAGGCAGATTTGCAAATTGAACAAAATCCTAGACACTAAGCATTTAACACTAAGAATTTAAACATTATTCACAAAACATAGCTTCAATTTGTAGACCTGATTAGATTTATTGACGAATTTAACCACAAAACTTAATCTACCTAAATACTAAACTGGTATCACAAGTTTAATGTCACCTGCTTTTACACTTTTCCAATACTTTAAAAAGCAACAATTTAAAAATTCTATACTTTAAAGTTGTTTGTGGTTAATTTTATGTTATTGAATTTTACCTCAACTAAAAAGCAGATAAAACCTGAATCATCCCAATGTTTGCAGTAGTTATTACCATACTCTCCCTAAAGCTATCACAAGAGTATTAATCTACATTTGTGTCCATCATCTTCTTTATTTACTTATTTATTTATATATTATTATTTTTTTAAGACGGGGTTTCACCATGTTGGTCAGTCTGGTCTTGAACTCCCGACCTCAGGTGATCCGCCTGCCTCGGCCTCCAAAGTGCTTGGATTACAGGCGTGAGCCGCCACGCCCGGCCTATTTCTTGTTTTCAAATAACTCAGTGCATCTTTCATCCCTGGGTGTCCTTTAAATCTCATTTCCTGCCAGGTGCGGTGGCTCACGCCTGTAATCCCAGCACTTTGGGAGGCTGAGGTGGTTGGATCACGAGGTCAAAAGATCGAGACCATCCTGGCCAACATGGTGAAACCCCGTCTCTACTAAAAAAAAAAAAAAAAAAAAAAAAAAATAAGCTTGGGCATGGTGGTGGGTGCACCTGCAGTCCCAGCTACTTGGGAGGCTGAGGAGGCAGGAGCATTGCTTGAACGTGGGAGGTGGAGGTTGCAGTGAGCCGAGATCGTGCCACTGTACTCCAGCCTGGTGCCTGGTGACAGAGTGAGACTCTCAAGAACAAAACAAAACTTATTTCCTAATATAAATATGTAAGAACAAGAAATTCATAGCTTAATTATTCATCAGAACTTGGCTATGGTATGCACATTGAAAAGAGGACACTTCGGAACAATTAGCTTTGGCAAAAGAAAACCAAAAACTGGACGTTTTCAGGAACTCACATATACTTCTTTTAGTATAACCCATATTCAATACCATTATGGACTCAGGCTTTTCACTACATTTTTTGGGTTTTTCTTTTTAATAATCAGATGATCACAGTGTTGCCTTTTTATTTTTATTTTTAGAGACAGTGTCAGTGCAGCCTTGAACATCTGGGTTCAAGGAATCCTCCCACTTTGGCGTTCCGAGTAGCTGGGACTACAGGTATGCACCACCCCAGCAGGCTAATTATTTCTTTTTCTTTTTTTTTAAGGATGGGGTTTCACCATGATGGCCAAGCTGGTCTTGAACTAACCTCAGGTGATCCACCCACCTCGGCCTCCCAAAGTGCTAGGATTACAGGTGTGAGCCACCGCGCCTGGCCAATTTTTTCATTTTTTTGTAGATATGGGGTCTCATTATGTTGCCCAGCCTCATCTTGATTTCCTGGCCTCCAGTGATTCTCCCGCCCCAGCCTCCCAAAGTGTGGGGATCACAGGCATGAGCCACCTGTCTGGCCAGCTTTGACTTTTTATGCTGCATCCTTTTTCCTTTTAACACTACCTCAAACATTTTTGTCTTTTAACTTACTTCTAGCAAAGTCTACTTAGGCTGACTGTGATTTTTCTTGCACCAAGGTTTGGAATCGGCTCTTCTCCAAGGAGCCCTGTTTCTTTGAGTGGTGAATGTTATTAGGTGAATGTTATGTCTGGGCACTCATGATGTGAATTGCATTATTCACATGGGAACTGAAGGCAGGCGTCTCTGTTTCTAGGGCACTACAGTGGGACCTGGGAAATGAGTTAGAGCTGATGTGTCCAATTCAATTTTAACTCCACTAAGCCCTTTAAAAAAAAACCTCCTGTTATAAAAGGTTTTCTTTTTTTTCTCCCCCTTTAAACTTCCAGCTTATTATTCTTTTATAAAAACAACTTTAAACATAGACACATATATGTTTTTCTACCTCCTTCCCCTCATATAGGTATTCCAATTAAAACATTAATGAACTTTCTTATGTCATAAATGGATGTACATCTACTTAGATCCCAGACACCCTGGCCGGGGCTTCAAATGTGCTATCTTCACTTTTATACTCCTTGTGTGTCTTATCAACCCTCACCCTCTGGTCATTTTATTGACAGTCACACAATTTCATTTCACCCAACTCTATTGAATTCACGAGGCTTTGATTCCAATTTCAGAGCATGGACGTGGGCTCCCCACTCTCCCGGAACAATCGCTGGCTTCTGACTCTTCTCTGCAGACTGGAGATCAGGGATATCATTTTCTCATTGTTTCTCTCTGTTATATTCAGGTCTTCTTTCAGTCTCTGCAGATTCTCCTCAGCTACCTGCTCTTTAAAGAGCTTCTGGAGGAAATATAATTAACATGCATTTATAGCCTTTTTAACACGTGTTTTCATAAGTAAGCAGATTTCTTTTTCGCAATGCATACAATGGAGAAAACCAGAGGACTCTACCTCCATCAGCTTGTCCCCAAAGTCCAAGCCCCTCTCCTTGTCACCCAGCCCAACCTCTGGCATACCTTCATCCTCAAGTGCTCAGCATTTCTTGTCCTGACCCAGCTGCTCCCTCCTTCCCCATGTCCCGCCTCCTCCACCATGCTGCCCTTGCACAACCAGCAAGCGTCCTATATCCTCTCCCCTTCTGAAGAGGACACACTCTAAGAGGCCACTATGATCTCTGGCCCCTGTTGCTCACACCTCTGTGTAATGCCATCTCCTTGAGTACATGTGCATCTATCGCTTGCTTCTAATGAGCAGAATATGCAGCGGGGTTGGGTGTCACACTGTGATGGAGCGATGCTATATGAGACTGTCTTGTTAACAGGCTTGCCCTGGAGACTTTTTGCTGACTTGATGAAAAGAGCAGCATGTTGGAAAAGCCCAGGACGTGGTTAAGAACTGAGAGCCGCTTCCAGCAGATGGCCAGAGAAGAATCAGGAAGCAAATTCTGCTGCACCCTGTGTGAGTTAGAAGCAGATTCTTCCAGTGGCGCTTCCAGATGGCAACGTGGCCACCACCCTGATTACAGGCTCCTGCGATCCTGAGCAGACAGCCCAGCTAAGCCACGCTGAGACTGACTCACAGACCCCGTGAGATACTAAGTGTGTGTTGTTGTAAGCCTCTGAATCTGTAGTAATTTGTTCTGCAGCCATAGATAAGTACAATCATACCCCAGCGCACACTGTGTCTTCCGTAGCCCTCTTACAGTGGCGGCTGTCATTTTCTCCATGCCACAGCTTAAAAGCTGGGCACTAAGGTCATTGTATTCCTTGCTTTCCATTTCCCTTAGGCTTTTTCTGAGTCTCA